CTTTCTTTCTTTCTTTCTTTCCTTTCTTCCTCATTTCCTTTCCTTCCCTCTCCCTCTCCCCTTTTTGAAACAGGGTCTTCCTATAGCCCCAGCAGGCCTGGAACTATGTAGACCAGAGATCCGCCTGCCCCTGCCTCCTAAGTGCTAGGATCAAATGCATGCCCTGCTTGGGGTGCTTTTTTTGAGGCAGTGTCTTCTGTATGGTCCAAACTGCCTGCTCCAAATTTGAAGCAAGCCTCCTGCCTCAGCCTCCTAAATACTAGAATCACAGACTTAAATTCTTAAATATTTTATTTTTATGCATGAATTTTTTTTTTCTTGTATATGAGTGTTTTGCTTGCATGTTTGTATATATACCTGTGCATACAATATCAGTGAAAGCCAAAAGAGGGCATCGGATCCCCTGGAACTGGAGTTACAGGCAGTTGTTAGCTCCCATGTGGGTCCTGGGAATCAAACCCAGGTCCTCTGCAAGAATAACCAGCACTCTTAACCACTGAGCCATCTCTCCAACCCTTACTCATAAAATTTTAATAATGTAAAGTAAATTAACCTAGACTATCTGTGGCTTAAATAGATGGTAGAGACTCAAGCCCAGATAGTTTTGGCTGATAACTCCTTTTTTTTTATTGTTGTGGGATTTTTTGTTTGTTTGGGGGGGGGGTTAGTTTTTAGTTTCTTTGACACAGGTTTCCCCATCGCCTCAACTGGCCTGGAACTTTGTCAGCATGCCCAGCTTACTCCTCTTTCTTTTCAGAACATTAAGAGTACTCGAAATAGCCATCCTGTATATGACTGACCATTTTATTTTTTATTTGGGTTCTCCTAGTTCTTCGAAGTAAGGCTTTAGAGCAATTGTGATTTGTTTCTTGACAGTCTTTTTGTCAGGTGGTTTTAGGCAATAATTTCTGTTTTATGTTGTTAATGTTAAACGGAAATAAGTTATGTGGTATAATAAAGCGGTGGTTGGTAACCAAAGAAGATGTGAATCTTGCTATCACTTCATGCGATGAAACAGAAAAGCCTTGGTTTATTGCTTTTTACTAGGGAACAGAGTTCAGAGGCATCAGAAACTGGAGTTAGTGAAAATGAGGAGAACCCTGTGAGAATAATTTCTGTCACACCTGTAAAGAATATTGATCCGGTAAAGAATAAGGTAAATTTTTATTTATTTGCTTGCTTGCTTGAAGTGCTGGGGATTGAGCCCCCTTGCATGTTAAGTCGGTGCTTTCCCACTGAGCTACATGCCTTGCTCCATATTAAAAAGTTTACAAATATTTTTGTCATATTGAGATTCTCCCTACAGTTTCATAGTAACGGTAAGAGACTTGCAGCAAGTAGATTAACATGCATATCACATTTTATACATTTGTGTATTCCAGTTTTCATGCTCTGTCCTCCTAAAACTATTCTGTTTCTAGTGGTTAGCCATAATAGCATCCTTATCCCACACTGCCCATCCTAATACTTTGGGAGTTTGGGGATATTTATTGATTTCTGTCCAAAGGGCAGCATTCTTGTTTATGTTGTATTTTTCAAAGTTTAATTTTTATTACTTAGCTTTCTTTTTTTTAAATTGTATTTATACATATATTTTTTATTTTATGTGTATGAGTATATTGCCTGCATGTGTGTAAGTGCACCCACGTCATGAAATGCCCATGGAGGTCAGAAGAAGGCATCAGATTCCCTGGAACTGTTGTTAGCCGCTATATGGGTGCTGAGACTTGAACATGGGTCCTTCGGAAGAGCAATCAGAGCTCTTAACCGCTGAGCCATCTTAACATTCTTAAATGTGCTTGAATTTTTCTTTTATATTTATTTTGTGTGCACTGGCTTACTATAGCACACATGTAGAGGTCAGTTCCAAGGGCCAGTTCTCACCCTTTACATTGTTGAGGCAGGGTATCTCTTGTTTTTGTTACTCCTCATACTTTCGGCTAGCTGGCCTCCCAGCTTCCAACTTCTCCTGTCTCCGTCTCCCAGCTCACGGATTACAGATGCATGCCACTAAATCTTCCTTGTCTTTACATGGGTTCGGACATTGAGCTCATGTACTACAAGCGCTATTATGCAGTCGTCTCCCTACCCCTATTTTGTATTCTTTGTGATTGTGATCCTTCTTCCTCCACCTCACAAGTAACTGGGATTACAAGGCATATCCACCATGATATGTTATTTAAACTAAAGCACCTAGTTTCTCCCTCCCTCCCTCTCCTTCCTTTCCTTCCTTTCCTCCCTTCCTTTATTTTCCTCCCTCCCTCCCTCCCTCCCTGCCTGCCTGGAACTTGCTATGTGGACTTTAATTTACACAGAGATCCACTGCATCTACCTCCCAAGTGCTGGGATTAAAGGTGATATCACACCTGGCCTTTGTATAATTTAACATTTTATTCACATTGCTTACTTTTAATCAGATAGCCATATGTGTCCCTCAGTGTAGTTTGTTTGTTTATTTGTTGTTTGGGGGTTTTTGGTTTTGTAGGTTTTTTTGTTTGGTTTTTTGTTTTGTTTTTTGGTTTTTCGGTCTTTTCAAGACAGGATCTCCCTGTAGCCCTAGCTAGTATGGAACTCGCTGTATCGACCAGGCTGGCCTTGAACTCTGAGAGAGCCACCCCGCCTTTGCCTCCCAAGTGCTGAGATTACAGGTATGCACCACCATGCCTGGTGCAGTGTGGATTATGTTCACCCTTTATATAAAAATTAAATTTTCAGCACTAGAATAAAATCATGAAAATAAAATAAAAACAAGACAGGGTCTTGTTTAGGCCAGTTTGTCTTTGAACTCTCTGTGTAGCTAATGATGACCTGAAGTGTCCTTATTCTCCTGCCTACATCGCCTAAATTACAGATGTGTGCCACTCCCCAGCTAGAATTCCCATTGTTTAAAATGGTCTAGAAGGTACCCATGATCTTTTCCAAACCTGCTTCTCCTACCTTGTCTTATGCCACACTCCCATCAGGCCTTAGAATCCAAGTTCCTTAAATCTAGTGATTTTTTTTTTTCCATTGTAGATACTTCATATTGTCATCTTCACTGTGCCCAGACTGCTTTCTTAAATAATCTAGGACCCCCAGGCATGATGGCGCACACCTTTAGTTCCAGCACTTTGCAGTCAGAGGCAGGCGGATCTCTGTGAGTTCAAGGCCAGCCTGGTCTACATAGTGAGTTCCAGGACAGCTGGGGCTACAGGGAAACCCTGTCTCAAAGAAGACCAAAAAAAAAAAATTTTTTTTTTTTTTTTTTTAAAGAAAGATTTATTTTGGTTCACATTTGGAGTTGTTGAGCATACTCTGTTGGCTCCAGTGCTTTTCAGCCTGTGGTGAAGCAGAGTCTGAGGTAGAAAAAAAACTGTTAATCTCCTCACTGAGAAACAAAAAAGGGCAGAAGAAGGGACAGTTGTCCCATAAGCCCCTTCAAAGACATACCCCCAATAATTTAAAGGCCTCCCATTGGACTCTGCCCCTTAAAGGATCTCCTACCTCCCAATACCACCATGGTCTGAGGACTGAGCCTTTGACACATGATCTTTGGGGGACTTATCCAAAGCACAGCAACTAGTGCCTTCTGATGTATGTCTCTTTGATGCTTTTCTTGTTTAAATGCTTATTTCTACTTTTTTCTCCCATTCCTTAATTACACATGTAACAGTCATTTAGTTTTAAAATATTTTATTTATTATTTTTATTTTATGTTTATGTGTATATTGCCTGCATGTAGATAAGTGCACCCGTGTCGTACAATGCCCACAGAGGACAGAAGAGGCTGTTGGATACCCTGGAACTGGAGTTACAGATAGTTATTAGTTGCTGTGTGGATGCTGGGATTCGAACTTGGGTCTTCTGCAAGAACAGCCAGTGTTCTTAACCTCTGAGCCATCTCTACAGCCTGTAATAGTTGTCTTGTAGAAAAATACAAAGCAGATATAAAAACATAAGGAAGTTGAATTGTGCCTCTGTAACCCACAAATGGTTTTGCAACCTAAAGGGAACACTATTGGCCATCTGACATGCTTATCTTTCCGTTTTCTTTCCCTTTGATAGGTTTTATACCATTTCTGTTATATTATGCACATGATATTATATTGTACAGCTTTTCAATTTTATGTTCTCTTACAAGCATTTTCTTTACACAATGAAAAGTTATAATCATTTGTCTATTATTTATTTTTTAAATGAAAAGCTAAGTTGAATCATTTTGCTGTTGATAAAATGTGAAAATACATAGGTGTTTAGAACTAAAAAAGAAAGGGACTTTTCTTCTAATCAAATTAGAGTTACTCCTTCACAACTTGTTAAATAATTAACATTTTCAAGATATAATTTAGTAAATTTTGAACATTCTTTTGAGCATTTTATATTTTCTTTATTTTGGTGAATCTTTATCCAGGTTTGCTAATATTTGGTTATAAAAAGATTGCCATTCTGGAAAGATTGTCTAGGAAAAATTAAAATTATTGAAAAGATGTATGTTTTTTGCATGATGATCATGTTCTTCTGTGTTTGGAGTTTTATTGGTTTGTTTGTTTGTTTTTTTCTTTTGGTCTTTTTGAGACAGGGTCTCCTTGTAGTCCCAGCTGTCCTGGAACTCACTCTGTAGACCAGGCTGGCCTAGAACTCACAGAGATCCACCTGCCTCTGCCTCCTGAATGCTGGGATTAAAGGCGTGCACCACTACGCCTGGCCTTGTTGGTTGATTTTTGCTTCATGTTTCTGTATCAAGCTTGCCATGTAACCTATCTTGGCTTCAGCCTCATAAGTACTAGGGTTATAGGTATGTGCTACCAAGCCTAGCTTTTCTTTCCTTCTAATTAATTAGAATTATAGAAAAATTATAATTTGTTTCTGAATATCATTTATGTAAAAGTTACTTATATTCTGAATATTATTACTTATCCTGACGTCCATTATAACCCATACTGATTTTCTTATTTTGAACATTTTTAAGAGTATGATAGCAAAACTGAGATTTTTAATTTTTATTAATTATTTTTATTTTATGTATATGAGTGTATTGCCTGCATGTGTGCACCGTGTCATGCAATGCCTACAAAGGTCAGAAGAAGGCATCAGATCCCTTGGAACTAGAGTCAGTGTATGAGTATTTTGCCTGAGTATATAAGTGCACATATGTGGTACAGTGCCCTCAGAAGCCACAAGAAAGTAGCAAATCCCCTGGAACTGGACTTACAGATAGTTGTTAGCCACCATTTGGCCCTGGAAACCAAACCCAGATTCTCTGGAAGAGCAGCCAGTGCTCATCACTGCTGAACAATCTATTGCCTGTTTTTTTTTGTTTTGTTTTGTTTTTTGGGTTTTTTTTTTTTTTGTCTATTTGAAGCAGGGTCTCCCTGTAGCCCCAAGCTGTCCTGGAACTCACTATGTAGACCAGGCTGGCCTTGAACTCACAGAGATCTGCATGCCTCTGCCTCCCAAGTGCTGGGACTACAGGCGTGCACCACCACGCCCAGCTCTATTACCTGGATTTTTTTAAGATTTATTTTTATTTGTGAGCTTGTGAGTACGTGCCATAATAAATGTTCAGGTGCTCGTGGAAGCCAGAAGAGACATCAGATCTCTTGGAGCTTGAGTTAACAGGCAGTTGTGAGTTGCCTGGCATGTGTGCTAGGAGTTCAGTTCAGGTCCTCAGGAAGAGCAATAAGTGTTCTTGACTGCAGAGCACTTATTTTTTAATAGACTGCCTTTTATTTTGATAATTTCATACATGTAAACAATGTCATTCACCCCCAACTCCCTCCTCCCCTTCCCCACAAATAGCCCATGTCCCCCTCCCCTCTTCCCATCAGTTGTTTTTTGTAAACCACAAATAGCACCGCCTGCTGCAATGTTGACTGATCTTGTTGGCTTGATCTTTTGCATGTAACCATAGCCACAGTAAGTTCGTGAGTTCTATGGCCATGTCCTGTCCAGAAGACAACAGTTCACAGCACTCCTCCCCATCCTTTGGCTCTGGCTTTTACATTCTTTCCACCCCACTTTTCTGTGATATTCCCTGAGCTGGGATGAGGGGGATTACTACACATGTCAGGGCTGAGCAACCAATATTAACACCACTTATCGAGCACATTATATTTTCCACACACTGAGGTAGGCTCCAGGCACAGTCTGTCCTCTGGGAGTGTGCTTTTTTTTTTGTTTTTGCTTTTGCTTTTGTTTTTGTTTTTGGTCTTTTTGAGACAGGGTCTCCCTGTAGCCCCAGCTAACTGTAACTCAGTATGTAGACGAGCTGGCCTTGAACTCACAGAGATCCACCTGCCTCTTGCCTCCCAAGTATTGGTATTAAAGGCGTGCACAACAACCCACCCGGCAAGCTTGCTTTTCTTAAATCATTTTTGGTTTTTAATTTTGTTTTTATTTTACTTTATTTATTTTTTCCATTTTTATTTTATGTGTATGAGTGTATTTCCTACACGACCCATGTCGTGCAGTGCCTCAGAGGTCAGAAGAAGGCTTTGGATTCCCCTGGAACTGGAGTTAAGGACGGTTCATAGATGCCATGTGGGTGCTGGGAATCAAACCCGGGTCCTCTGCAAGAGTAGTCAGTGCTCTTAACCGCTGAGCCATCTCTCTAGCCCCTAAAGCATTTTTTTTAAAGATTTATTCATTGGTTGATTTGATGTGCATATGTGTGTAATTGAGTTTATATGTGTGCACCATGTACTTATAGGAGTTCACAGAGGTCAGAAGAAGGCATTAAATTTCCAGGAACTGTAGTTACCGGTGGTGGTGACACACCATGTGTGTGCTGGGAACTGAACTCTAGGGTCTTCTGCAAAAGCAGGATGGTCTTTTAATCACTGAGCTGTCTCTAACCCCATGGGAGCTTACTTTTCTACTGGGATATAAGTATTTAAAGAGAAACACTGGAATCCCAAATCTTATAAAATATTTTCAAGGGTGTTGGTGAGATAGCTCAGGCAGTAAAGGTGCTGACTGCCTAGCCTGATTATCTCATTTCGGTCCCCAGGTCCTACATGATTGGAGGAAAGAAGCAGTTCCCAAAAGGCTGTGGCATGTGTATGTGCATGCACACACACATAATAAAATCAATAAAAGGGGCTGGAGAGATGGCTCGGTGGTTAAGAACACTGGTTGTTCTTACAGAAGATCCACATTCAAATCCCAGCACCCACATGGCAGTTAACAACTGTCCATAACTCCAGTCCCAGGGGATCTGACAGCCTCTTCTGACCCCCATGGGCATTGCACAACACGGGTGCACTTACCTACATTCAGGCAGTACATGCATACACATAAAATAAAAGTAATAAATAAATTTTTAAAAAATAAAATAAATTCACTTAAAATGTTTTATATACTTTCAAGGGGCTGTAGAGATGACTCAGGTATAGAAAATTTGTTGCACAATCATGAATACCTGAATTTGGATCCAAGCACACATGTAACAATTCAGGTGTAGTCTCCTGTGGGCCTGAATCCCCAGCACTGGGCAGTGGTGCACAGAATGGTCACTGGGACTTGCTGATTCAGCCTAGTCAAACAATGCAAGACCCAGGTTTAGGGAGAAACCTGGAATAAAGTGGAGAGTAGTAGAAAAGGATGCCCAGTACCCTCCTCTGGCTTCTAAACACATGTACAGGTGTTGCACCTACATGTACATATACACAAAAGCAGTTTATAGAAAGAAAAGAATACTTTTTTTTTTTCTTTTCAGTCTTTTTGAGCCCCAGCTGGTCTTTTAACTCACAGAGATCCACCTGCCTCTGCCTCCCTAGTGCTGGGATTAAAGGCATTTGCAACCACACCCCATCAGAAGAGTACTCCATAATGTTCTTTTCTAGTATGCTCACTAGTTTTAAAGGAGTTTGTGTTTATAAATTTGTTTTTGTGCTCTTTTAGGAAATTAATTCTGATCCGGCTACCCAGGAAAACATCAGCAGTGACCGAGGAAAGAAAAGAACTGTCACAGCAGCTGGCGCTGAGAACATCCAACAGAAACCAGATGAGAAAGTAGATGATTCAGGACCACCTGCACCTTCCAAACCCAGGAGAGGACGTCGCCCCAAGTCTGAATCTCAGGGCAGTGCAACCAAAAATGATGATATAAATAAGCCCATTAGCAAGGGAAGGAAGAGAGCTGCAGGCAGTCAGGAGAGCCCTGGGGGTTTGGAAGCAGGTAACACCAAAGCGCCCAAGCTACAAGATGTAGCCAAAAAGGCAGCACCAGCAGAGAGACAAATTGACTTACAAAGGTAATCCTCATCTTAAGAATTGAAACTTGTTTTATTGTAAATGCCAGTCTTCCCAATCACTCTCCTAAAAGCAAAGCTGCACTTTGATTTTCCTGCCAAGATCCTAATGGCATTTGTTTTTAATCTTACCATGTTTTAGTTTGAAGGCACTAATTTGAAGAAAAAAATCTTTTCTTTGATTAATTTTCATGTACGTATTTTGAAATTTCTTTTTATCAACAAGAAGAACATCATTTGCTTGGGCAACTGTATTAGTTACTTGTTTCGTTACTGGGACAAAATACCTGACAAAGCAAGTTAAGGAAGGAAGGGTTTATTTGGGCTCAACAGTTGAAAGGCAGTCCCTCATGTCAGGGAAGGCATGTTGGCAAGAGTGTGAGGCAGTCGATGACATTGCATCCACAGAGGGTGAGGAATGCTGTGCTCAGCCCACTCTTTCCCTTTTTCTCAAGTCTGGCCTCCAGGTCCATAAGATGGTACCATTCACATTCAGGGTGGGTTTTCCCACATTAGTTAACATCATGTAAACATTCCTCACAGCCATTCAGAGAGACTTGCTTTCGTGGTAATACTAGCCTTCATGTTGTTGCTTTTGGTTTACACATATACAGTTTGGATATAGAGTCATGGCATGGGGAAGATAGTCATGAAATATAAACAAGTATATGTTCTTCTTTCATTGTTTTCTAGTAAAAGTCAGGGCCTTTACCTCTTTTCTCTGACCTTCCCAATGAAACCACCTCACAGCTGCTCATCTTTTACTATGCTTAGGCCAGGTTTTCATATTTTTCCACATTATAACAGTACTATCCCTATTAGAAGCCTAAAGGTGGTTCCTTCCATAGTAGGCTTACAATTGGAGTGGACTATTCTATTTTTCCCCCCTAGTACCAGCTCTTCTAACCTTGAATTAGACCATAAGCATCTGAGTTTCTTTTAGATAAATCTAGTCAGAGCTTTGATCATCTCGGGGCACTCCTGCAATCTTACCTCAGTATTTTTATGGAAAACAAAAGTACAGTAAGGCCAGCATTCTGGATTTTGAGGCAGGAGGATGGCCAGTCCAAGCTCAGTCTGGGCTACATAGTGAGAACCTGACTCAAAAAATTGTAGAGATAGCCAGTATTACAGATAGGGCCACAACTCTTTTTCTTCAGACTTGTCTGACCCATTGATCAGGAACAACCTGTTTCTTCATTAGTGAGTTAGCATAAATACCCATCTCTAAGAATTATACGCCTTTAATCCCAGCACATGGGAGGCAGAGGCAGGCGGATCTCTTGTGAGTCCAAGCCAGCCTGGTCTACATAGTAAGTTTCAGGCCAGCTGAGGCTACAGGGAGACCCTGTTTCAAATCAAACAAACAAAAAATAAAGTTGAACATTTCAACTGCCTGAACTCTCTAGAGAGTTTCTGTTATAACCTACTCAGAAAAGTACTGATGATTGCCGGGCGTGGTGGCGCACACCTTTAATCCCAGCACTTGGGAGGCAGAGGCAGGCGGATCTCTGTGAGTTCAAGGCCAGCCTGGTCTACATAGTGAGTTCCAGGACAGCTGGGGCTACAGGAAGGCCCTGTCTCTAAAAGACCAAAAAAAAAAAAGTACTGATGATCACATATGGGTCACCCAGGCTGCCTGACTGTCCCCCTCACTAGTCCTTTTCCATGCATATTACCTTTTCAGTAGTAACAAGACTGACTGGTTTAGAGCATTATAAAATCCATTGCTCTGCTTTCATAACTATAGTATGTTTTAACTTTATTATGTAAAACAAAAACATCTTTAAAATAGCTTGTGTACTGGAACTGGTTTTCATTAAGAAGGCATTTAGGTACAACCTCTACAACCTAAGATTCGTGGAACATAAAAACAAGGGATGAAGAGAACACTAATGCATTTTTCAGTTCTCATCAGTGAAGCTCCCTCATGCAACAGAGGGCTAAAAACGCAAAAAATCACAAATGGCCAAAATGGCCTTAACACAAATGACAGAATATATGAACTCCTGTGGGGGACCTATGGGAGGGCAAAAGGGGAAGGAGATACAAAGATGATTTTCTGTATGAAATACACAAAAATTCAATTTAAAAAATTTTTTTATGGGATTTAGGAGCCCAGCATGGTAACACACACCTATAATCCCTGCTTTATTAGGTGTCTGAGGCAGAAAAATCATTAGTTCAAGACCAGCCGGGAAAGTCTACTCACAGGAGTAGAATGCTTGCCCAACATGTATAAGGCTGTGGGTTTGACCCCAGCATTAGCCCCTTTACCCCCCCAAATGCAAGACCCTCTTTTGTTCTCTTCCCTTCCTCCCTCCCTTCTGTCCCTCCCTCTTTTTTCTATCAACTTATTTGAGACATGGTATCATTTTATTTAAACCAGGCCGAACAATCCTGCCTCATGCTCCCAGGTGCTAGGATTACAAGTCTGAGCTGCCACAGCTCAGTCTAGAAGATCATCCAACAAGAAAAGGAAACAGAAAAGGATATGTGACCTCCTTAAATCCTTGAAAAGGGAAAACACTACTTAGAGGTCTTAATTATGCCAGTTACTAATTCAGTAGGTAGTGGGTAGCAGTATTCAAAGTTCACAATTCTGTGAGTACTTTTTATTCTCAGTGAAGATCAATGAATTAGATGGTAACATTGTACCATGTGAATTCAGCACAACAGATCAAACATTTTGTTCAAATATTTTAGAAACATCTGATTCACTTATTGACTAGCAATTCATATTTTGGTGCCTTCTCACAAGGCTCCTTTTGTCTGTTTTGTTCTGTTCTGTTCTAATACAACTGCTCTTTATTTCTAGTATTTTGGCTAAGGATTATAATCCAAGAAACTATTTAAGGAAAGCTGACTTAACTCTGCAAATTAAATATTGGTGATCCCACGGAAGTCAGAGTTATAGTTGCCCCTTGTACATTTCATTCATTCACTTAACAAATACTGATTAATGTCAAGTACCAAAGTGGATAGATTCTTGCTTGTAAGAGTGTGCTTCTCCAATCTGCCCATTCCATAGGAAATATTTCATTAATGTGTATTGGTATAGTAACTTTATAGACATACATAGGCACCAAGGATCCAAGTGGAAACAATTATGACTAGTAATAATCAGATACATACAGATTAGAGATGCATGTGCCAACATCTCAATATTAGTAACAAAAGCAATGAGTCTTTCTGTAAGAAACAGTATATTTTAGAATGAAATGGAGATCTTTTTTGAGGGTTAAAAACTCATGCAATTTATGTCTTACAGGGCTTATACTGAGTTCAGTATTGTATAACTGTATTGATTCAACAGCAAACCTAGAAATTTTATAGCCACTTTTAAAGGAGCTGGGTCTTTGCTCTGGAAAATGTTATTGGGCATGTTAAAGCTGTAATGATAGGCTTCTTCTAAAAAAAAATAAAAAATAAGCCAGGCGTGGTGGTGCACACCTGTAGTCCCAGCACTTGGGAGGCAGAGGCAGGAGGATCTCTGTGAGTTCAAGGCCAGCCTGGTCTACATAGTGAGTTCCAGGACAGCTAGGGCTACAGGGAGACCCTGCTTTAAAAAGACAATAATATAATAATAATAATAATAATAATAATAATAATAATAATAATAATAATAATAATAATAATAATAATAATAATAATAATAATAATAATAATAATAATAATAATAATAATAATAATAATAATAATAATAATAATAATAATAATAATAATAATAATAATAATAATAATAATAATAATAATAATAATAATAATAATAATAATAATAATAATAATAATAATAATAATAATAATAATAATAATAATAATAATAATAATAATAATAATAATAATAATAATAATAATAATAATAATAATAATAATAATAATAATAATTTTTTTAAAGTAGGAAACAGCAAAAAAAAATTTTTTTAGTTGGCTGGGTGTGATGTTCCACACCTATAATCTCAGCCCATGGGACTCACATGAGTTCAAGCCAAGCCTAGGCTGTGAAGCAAGACCGTGTGTCAACAAAAAGAAAAGCCATAAAACTTTTTTTCTTAATTACTCCTGTAGTATGAAATTCTGAACATCCTACAACATGTTTGAACCTTAAGGACATTATTAAGTTAAATGCAATCTACTAATCTGAAAACGATAAATAATTGTATGATTCAATGGGTTTTTGTTTTGTTTGAGACACGACCTCACTATGTGTCCCTTACTGTCCTTGAACTCAGGGCAGTCCTATGCCTCATCCTCTTGAAGATAGGGATTGCTGGCATTAGTCACCAGCCTGGGTCTTAGGAGCAAGTTTTGTGGGGTTTCTAAAATATGCCTCCTGAAGAATAGGGGTATAGGTATATTTGTTACGTGTTCGAGGTTTCAATTTAGGGAACATTCTGGAGCTGGGTGATACATACTTATACCATGTTATGAATATGCCTAATGCTATTGAACTATGTGCTTTAGTTAAAATGGCGAGATAATATGTTAAATATTTTTGCAACATAAAAATGAAAGTTGACTTGAACAGAACTTCAAATTTTGAGCTTTCATTTTAGAATACTTGTTATATATAAAGAGGTATCTGAGACTATCTTTAACTCCAGCTTCACCTTCTCACGTTCTGGGATTATAGAATAAGCTACCACACTTTTCTCCATATGTTTTTATACACACCTTATACACAAATCCTGCAAATACAAGCTGAACATCTGACAGACAGTTGATAGACTGTTTGTGTAGCATGCATGAAACTGGGCTCTATTCCCAGCACCACATAGGTTTACCTGGGTGTGATGATACAACTGGGCATGCTGGTGGCATAGAACTTCAAAATCATCCTTTCCAACATAGTGCGTTTGAAGTCAGACTGCACTGCATAAGACTCCTTGTTTTTTTTTGTTGTTTTGTTTTGTTTTGTTTGTTTTTTTGTTTGTTTGTTTTTGGTCTTTTTGAGACAGATTCTCCCTGTAGCCCCCAGCTGGCCTGGAACTCATTATGTAGAC